ATATCTTTTGAGCCAGTTCCCGATTAGCCCACGCATTATGTTGGGAGAGGTCTATTTGAAAGGCGTCTCCCATAGGATGATTTAAAGTCCTGTAATTCGAGAAGTTCGAAGAATTTATTGTGAAGAAAAATAAGAAAGAAAGGGCTTCACTCACCCGTAAATATCAAGAACTATTGTTAGAGACGAGATCAGGTGAACAGTATGCTATAAATTCTGTTGCTTGGCTCAAGGGTGAGAAGTACATAGCGCGTATTGGTCCATTAGGTAGTAATAATGTGGTTATAGAAAGAGGTAATATAGACGACTTGAAGAAAATGAAGATCAAAACGGACTCTGGAGATGTATAAATCGTGCAACTAATAATGGATTGAATGAGGTAATAGACTTTAGAGCTAAGCGTATGGAACCAAATTCAAAATCCAAACGACGCAGGCATATCAAGATCATCGAGGATTCATCTGGCGAAGACGACGAACTCATGGAAACAGAGAATGCATCCGCAGCAGCAGATAACCAATCGGAAGAAGCAGAGGAACAGTGAGAAGCAGACTAACAGTCGGAAGATGCAGACAAACAGTCGGGAGACGCAGACAAACATTCGGGAGACGTATGGACATTGAAATGGCAAATGCGCATGACGATGACGTGTATTCGAACTTAGACTTAGACTTAGGAATTGACTCATTAATTCCAGCAGCAGAAGTATCACACATACCCTCACCAGGCTTGCAAGCAGTAGAGGGATCTAACATACCTGTATTAGAACCTGCAACGGAGCCAGCAGGATCAATGTCGAAAGCCCTTGTAGTGTACTCAGACGATGAGATAGATGATGAAAACGGCGAAGAGATCAAGGACGCTGATACTGACAAGCCTGCTACGAAGACTAAGTCCGCACCTACAAAGAAGACTAAGGCCCCCGCTAAGGAAACTACTGGTACTAAGGCCCCCGCTAAGAAGACTCTTTGTATGAAGGCCCCTGCTAAGAAGACTACTGGTACTAAGGTCCCTGCTAAGAAAACATCTGATACTAAGGCACCTGCTAAAAAGACTGCAAAAGAACCTGTGGCCACAAACGTACCTGTATCTGCACATCAAGCGGTAGAAGTGCCAGTGTCAACCACTGCAACCAAAGAAGTCGAAGTGCCAGCAGCCGCTGCAACCAAAGAAGTCGAAGTGCCAGCAGCCGCTGCAACCAAAGAAGTAGAAGTGTCAACAACCACTGCACGTACATTCACACCGTTCACATATGGTGCAGGTTTTACACAAGTCCAATCACCACAACATGCACGGCCACCACAACATGTACGGCCACCACAACATGTACATCCACTGTCACGACATGTACAGCCATCGTCTGTCCATCCACTGTCACAACATATACAGTCACCACAACATGTACCACCACAACATGTACAGCCATCACAACATGTATCACCACCACAACATGTATAGCCATTACAACATGTACGACCACCACAACATGTACAGCCATCACAAGCTGTACATCATGCACTGCCACTGGTAAACATACAGTATCCACTTCAGAGTACAACAATATCTTAGTCCACAGTTCATACCGCACCAAATTATTAAGAACAACCACACGCAAAATTAATTGGCGGGGATACATCGTATGGATACTCAAAGAACGCATCATAGGTAGTATACCGAACACTTCATGCATGCACACCTTCAGGGGAATAGGCGTGATAACTCTCGATCCCCTGAAGTGGTGTGCACAAGTATATTGTTTGCAATAAAGCAAGTATATTTCTTGATAAGTGGCAAGTTATTGATTAAGACATTAACTAAGGACATCGAGAGTATTTTTTTTTTTCTTTATTTTTATCTAAAGATAGGATTTTATGAGTCTCTCAGATTCGCCCTAACGAAACATACCATAGTTTCTAATAGAGCGACAACAAAACACTAAATAAAATCCCTTCGGCGGAAACAGTACTGAGAGGATTATATATAGGCAATGTCTCAGCCTCACAGTCCCTCAGAGTATTGCTGTTTTCACGAGGCATACCTAACTTTACTAAATGTCTCATTTCGTTTATTTACTTTGTTATTTTCACGATACTTAGAATTCACCTACACGCTTATTCACTCTAAGGCGTTGATATCGCCCCAATAGACCGAATCTTACACATTGTAAAGATAGCAAAAATAATAATTACTTAGACTACTTTAGCGTAAAGGTAGATTAACTACCACAAAAAAAATCTTGTCCAAGCTAGTCCTTAAGAGACAAGCTAGTAGTCATAAGTTAAGATTATGACCAAGAAAGACAATACTCCTTCTAAGAAGCGTAGAGCTGAAAAGAAGAAGATAGAGAGAGAAGCCACTAGCGCTGCCGCAGCTACTGCGGCCGCAGAAGCAACTGGCGCCGCTGCCAATGCGTTTAACCGCACAGTAGCCAAAGCACTTGCCTCCGACAATAATAGTCAACAGGACAATGCTTCAGATAAGGATGTAGCCACTCCGATTAAGGAGACTACTCCCACTGACAGAGCCCGAAAACCAACTATTGCCTCAACTTCAAAGCTCGCATTTACGAAGCCAAGAAGTGAGACAAGGGACACGTCTCAGACGACCCAACCAATTCTTCTGACGAAACTCAGAAAGAAAAGTTCCCAATTATAAGAGAGTCCCTAATTATAAGAGACAAGGACAAATTTCAGAAGGAACTTATAATGGAACCAGAAGAGGAGGCAAGCTCAAGTGGCAAACCCGAATCTACGTCCGAGACTACTAAACCAACGCGCATAAGTAAGTTAATTACTGAAAACACTGATCTTAAGAATCAGTTAGCTACCCTTAAGAAATACTTGACTGTTGAACATGTAGATCGATTGAATAGATCAGGAAAACATACACAGCACTTACGCGAGCATGTTTCTCCGGGAAGTACTGAAGTCCTACAGAAGTGTACAGAACGTCGACCGGCAAATACGCCCGAAGAACGTAAAGACTCGAACGCTACACCTGTGACATGTGAGCCAGATGTTCTCAGCGTATCTATACCTTACGAGGTACTACCACCAGAACTTCAGGCTACTTACTCACCTGTGCCGACACCCGGCCGTGAGTCACCCGTCCTTGAGGGTATTATAGACCCAGAGGCAGGTAGAAATACTCCGCCACTTGTACCCAATTGGGATGACAATCGTCAGAAACCAGTTAAGACTGGGTATGTTATCTAGACGCATGAATCACCCAAGATTATAATACCAACCACTATCTGAAGAACAGAGCACCGAAAGGCCTCGATAGACTTTACAAGGGGTAATAAACACCCCCGTAAACGTGTTAACGAAGTCAAATTTAATCGCTTCGATCGCACAGCACTACATCGACCCGCAGAGGATTTTCACTCTGACGAGGTGACCGAACTTAACAAATCGGTCGACGGTTATACCATTAAAATGGAAATCGCCCACGATGCACATCATGCTGAGGATGTATCATATTTTGCTAATATGACTGCGATTAAGCAAAAGCGTATCGATCTGCTACTTCAGGCCCAACGTGGACAAGACCACAGGGATAACCAGAAGTACAAAGGACAGATCAGTCGACTTAAGTCGAACTGGGATGCCAACAGTAAGCAGGTCGAGTTTATAAACAATCATGACCTCGACACGCTAACCCGTACGCTTAATGCGTTTACGGTCATGCTCGAGACAAATGATATTGCTCCCCAGCAATGGATCTCTGCTTTAATGCAGACGTTTGACCCTACAGGTATAAGTTATTTGATCCTGCAGCGACACCAACATGAGCTAGACACTTGTCGTGACTGGCCAGCTGTGTGTTGGTTGGTTACATCCTTGTTAAGTAAGGACATGCGTAGCCCAGGACTGAGTTCAATTTTAACTGAACCAGTTGAGAACACGCCCATTCCGAGTTGTATTCTAAAGCTAGATGCTGACCTGAAACGTCCAGATATAACAAAGGACAAGGCACAGCGATGGTACGAGTTCCTGGTTATGCACGTGTTCTGTAAGAACATAGAGAATAACGACTGCGAGAGTCTGTACACCGAGTTGCGACGTAAACACGCGACTGAGGCTCGAGACAAGGGACATGAAACAAAGTTTCATCTATCCCGACATACGTGGGAACAGTTTTATGATACTGTATCCACCCTTTTCCCCGCACACCGAGTAACATCGAAGGGAAAAGTGGCTGTTAAGAAGCCGCGGGAGCACACCGATCACGGATAAGTATCCAGGCAGACCTCGAACGAGAGACCCCAACATACACGTACTCGCGACTCCACTCTATCCACGCGACCCAATAAACGGGCACGCGCGGAGGCGAAGGACACGGAACCTCCATTTAAGGAGATTAAGAAATGTGCCGACGCCCATTATGGATATCACATGTACCAGTTAACCCCTAACGGTTATTGGAATGGTAGACATGCATCCATCTGTACACGCTTTCTTACTAAGTGTGACAAGTGAGAAGACCAATGGTTATCACACTAAGTCTTGTGACCGAAAGCCCAACATTAAGTTGGAGTGACGGTACTACCAGGTACAATCATTACACAGACAATGCAACGACTCTTTAGATGAGCGTGTAATAATCCCTGTATACTGCAATGTAAATAAAATCCTTGCGTTGATTGATCCTGGTTCAGAAATTTCACGTTTATCCGATCGCTTTGCATTAATGAAAGATATCGCAAGGAGAACACAAACAACTCACCTTATCTTAGCTGATGATAAAACTTTTAAGTGTGATACCATGGCCACAGATGTTGAAATCTCCCTGGCCGATGATAGAAGTATTACTACTCAAGCTGTGATAGTTAATATGTCACAGAAGTACGACATTATAGTCGGAATGAGTGATTTACTAACTCTAGGTATAACCGCAACTGGTCTACCAACTAACATAGATCCATTAAAGGATCAATCAGACGATAACTGTCTGAATCCATATAAGCCCTCGTCAGGCACAGTCATGGCATTAATACCTGACTTTGCGGACAAAATCATGGATCTGATTCTTGTTAATAAGAAAATAAAGATCACAGATTGGGCAAAATTCTGCTTTAACGACGGATATGTCAGCCTTGACTTAACCAAGGTAGACTTTACACAGTTAAAGTGTCCCTCAAGGAACTATGTATCCTGGAGACACGAGGCTATTGTAAAGGAACAAGTTGAGAAATGGCTAGCAGATGGAGTGATATAAATTAGCTATCAGCAGACGCCAGTTAACTTGGCATTGC